ACACACACACACACACACACACACACACACACACCTTTACTAGGGAGGCTGGGGTGAGGGAGGTGGCTATTACAGACTTCATCCAGAGATTCCCTCTGAGAATGGATTCCCTCCCTCTCCCTCCGGAGCAGCCCAGGCTGGAGCTGGGTCGGCTGGATTTGAACTGCAGCCCCACCCTCCAGCAATGAAACAGCCTTGCCTCAGATTTCTCTTCTGAGCAACGGGAGTTACCAGAGCCTGAGCTGACCAGAGCGAAAGCAGCAAGAACTCGGTCACCTTCAGCTCTCCCCGCAGCTCAGATAACTTTTCACAAGGCAACGCAGCCCTGGCAAGAGTGGGAGCCACAGGAGGGGGCAAGGGAGGCGATAAGGGGAGGGTGCCAAGACCTGGTGCCCTGAGGGCTTCTTTTATTTCACCAGCAATAAACTTCGGCTTTTGCCTGAGAGAGGGCAGAGGGTGTTGAACAGGAGCAGCCCCAAACTCAAGGCTGTGCCGATGAGCAGGAGCAGCTTCAACATCAGGGGAACAGAGTGCAACTTCCTGGCTGGTGCCTCGGACTTGTTCTCTCTCATCAAAGGTTCCATCAACTCCAGGGATTCCATGGGGTTGAACTGGGCCACGAACTCCTGCTCCACGAAGCACCTGTAAGTGGCTGGCTGGAAGATCTGCAGCTGCTTGCCTCCCGTGGAGATGTCCAGGGTGCTGTTGAAGTGCTTGCCCGAGAGCTGGTTTTGCCAGGTCAAGGAGATGTTGTCAGCCTCCCAGCTGACGGGCCTACAAGGGAGACAAAGTCAGCCGCAGGGTCCAGGAGAATGGGGGACCGACACCAGAAGGGAGGTGGAGACAGCGGCCCCTGCGCCCTGGAGGCCCCTGGACCAGCCTGTGACCTGGGCCAAGGCCTGCAGCCCCTTGACTCTTCGTGCCCTTGCCTGGTGGAAGAGGGTAAGGGTTGTAGCCACCTCCCCAGTGGCCTATTTGGAGGAATGAGAACGAACAGCCCCTAAGAGATGTGCTGGCCCCGTCTGCTCTGCCCTCTTGCTCATGCTGCCCAGCTGCACCTGGGTCCTAAATGCTTCCTACCACGCTGGACGCCGTTCTGCCTGGGGCTTCCTGCCTGGCTGCCCCCTCCACCTGGAATGCCACCCCCCAGGGCGTGCTGCTCTCTACCACCTCTCACTCTTGCCCCAAATGGCTCTTCCTCAGGGAGGCCCTCCCCGACTTGCCCATACACGGTTCCAATCTTCTCTGCTCCGTGAACCTTTGTTACCATCTAAAACATATTTAATTTCTCCCGGAGGGCAGGAGTCCTGGTCATTTCTGTCCTGTCCTGTGTCCACGCACCCAGAACAGTGCTGAGCATATAGACAGGCAGGGCAAATGTGACAGTAAATGGGTGGGGTGCACAGCACGCCTAGCATGGCCAAAGAATGCGGGTAGGGGGTCCTCAGCAACCAACACTGGGACAAGGCCAAAAAAGCACAAAGCAGTAGCTGACCCCTACATCAAGTGTGGGACCATATTTCAGGCCAGATACAGTGGTGGGCATGTGACTGTCATTCACCTTCTTAAATCAAGATAACCCCCAAAGGCCACAGTGAGGGAGACATCTGTCCTGAGTTGAGTAGTGGTCCCCTGAAATTAACAACTTCCCCTGAACTGAGGATGGAACCTTATTTGAAAATTGGGTTGTTGCAGATGGAATTAGGTTAGAATGAGCGCTATCAGAATAGGTGGCCCTGGATGCAGTACGGCTGGTGTCTTAGCGGAGAAGATGAGAGTGAGAGATGTGGACCTGTGGGAGGCAGCCAAGGGGCGTGAGGGAACAGAGAGAGCAGCCCCAAGCCAAGGAAAGAGGTCCCAGGGTCCCCACTGCCTTGAAAGCCAGGAAGGGTTCATCTAGCACCCGGGAGGCACCGTGGCCACATCTACGCTGACTTCCAGCCTCCAGAATGGTGACCAGATACTTGTGTGTCGTTTGAAGTCACCTGGTTTGTGGTTCTTTCTCCTGGCAACCTTAGGAAAGGAATGCAGTCCTAATGTACAGACAGGAAAAGTGAGGTCCAGGGGAAAGCCACAGGCCCAAAGTCACACAGCTGGAAAGAGGCAGAGATGACGGGGCTGGAACCCAAACCAGATCCAGGACTAAAATCTCACAAGAGCAGCCGCTCTAGGGGCTGGTGAGATGGCTCAGTGGTCTAAAGCACCTACTTAGTACAAGCTAAGCTAAGCAAAAACACAGGGACCGCGGTTCAATCCCCCAGCACCACATGCCAGCCAGCCCCGCTCCCCTGGTGGGCTGAGCTGGCCATACCCACACACTTACTCACACACACACACACACTCATAATAAATAAATAAATAAATAAATATTAAAAAAAAAAAAAAAAAGAGCAGCCGCTCTAGCCAGGTGTGGTGGCATAGTTCTGCAATCACGTCACCCGAGAAGCTCAGGTAGGAGGACTGCCATGAGTTCCAGGCCAGGCTGGACTATGTAGTGAGTTCAAAGCCAGCCTGAACTGCTGCTGACTATGGTAGTACATGCTGTCACCCCAGCACTGGCGAGGCTGAGGCAGGACAATTGCTGTGAGTTCAAGGCCAACTTAGGCTATTTAGTGACAAGAAAAGGAATGCTACTCCAGTTCCTCAGACAGAAGCAAGGGCACCTCTCACAGAAAAAAAAATAACCATCTGATTTCTAGCTGCCCAGATAGCGAGAAAATATACTTTTGTTTTTAAATTGAGGGCAGGGGAAAGAGGAAGAAGAAGGAGGAGAAGGAGGAGAGAGAGAGGGGGGGGGGAGGAAGAGGAGAAGGAATGAAGCCCCCCTGGATTCCTCCAGGAGTCCCTATGTTCTTATCCTTCCCTGAGACATGTGCTGAGGAGTGCCTGAGGCAGCTGACGCCCACGGGGTGTCCCCATAGAGGCAGGAGGGGTTTCACTCTCCCTTCGCTGCACCTCCATGGATGGTAGTTCTCTCTGGGAACAGGTTGCTTTTACAATTAATGGTGGAGGAAGCAGAGAGGTTAGGGAGAAACACACAAAGGTCCCAGAGTGGCAGAGAGGGGGACAGAAGTCACAGCTGCATTATACCAGCAGGAAATCAGAGGGGGCAAAGCCAGATTCCACAGAGTGTGTGGCTTCAGGGGATCAGAGGTGGCCTGGGCTTCTCCTCACCAGTGTCCCACACAAGAAGGGCTTTGTGGGCATCTAGGGAAGCATAAGAGAACCCACAGGCAAGTACATGGAATATAGGGTCAGCACCACCTCTTTCCACTGTGGGTCCCTTGGGCAGCCTCTGATTCAGTTTCTCCTTCTGTAAAATGGGTCTCCTTTGAATCCACAGCTCCTGGGGCATGGAGAGGGAGGAGAGGGTGCTGTGCACAAAGGCAGTTTGTCCAGGGCCTGGCTATGTACCTGATGGGGCAGGGAAGGAGTGTGAAGGAGGAGGAAGGATCTCCCAGGGGCTCCTGGTAGGAGAATGGCACATGAATGTGAACTAAGAGGGCCGGGGAGATAGCTCAATAGAATATGCGCTTGCCTGGCAAGCGCAAGATCCTGAGTTCAGGGGCTGGTGAGATGGCTCAGTGGTCTAAAGCACCTACTTAGAACAAGCTAAGCTAAGCAAAGCTCAGGGACCGCGGTTCAATCCCCCAGCACCACATGCCAGCCAGCCCCGCCCCCTGGTGGGCTGAGCTGGCCACGCACACACACACACACACAAACACAAATAAATAAATAAATAAATAAATAAATAAAATTAAAAAAAAAAAAAAGATCCTGAGTTCAATCTCCAGTACTGAAAAACAAAACAAAACAAAACAAAAACAGACAAAAAAACCTATGAACTCAGGAATCACCAACCTCTCCTCCAGGACCTGTCATACCTGTCCAAAGGAGGAAACAGTCTATTGTGGCCCTCTAACTTCTAGGCTCCTGCACCCCAGCCCATGATGCCATCTGATCTCCTGTTCCAGAGCTAACCACCCTGGGAATCCCACCTTGGACGCTGGGCTTCCTGAAAACCTGAACTGGCACTATCCTGATGGCCACAGAGCTCGTTCAGTGCCTGATCAGAACCACCCACCCCTGCCAGGCTCCCACGGGGCCAGCCGGCTTGGGACAGAGGCGGGAGCACAAGCCAGACCTCATCACCTGTAGATGGATGCTAAGGGGCAGGAGAGCCACAAAGACTCCTGCTCCTCATTGAAGCTGAAGCTGTCAAAGATGACAAAGCTCACTAGGGCAAACGACATGTCATTACATTCCACGAAGCAGGCTTCAAACTGCACCTCAGGCTTCTGGCGGGGTAGCCAAGCCAGAGACTCCCCCAGGTAGAGTCCGCAGGGAATGGGGTCCTCCAACGGTTCAATAACATAGCAGTAGCCCAGGCGCTTGCGTTCGCCAGGAGCTCCACAGCGGTTACAGTCCTGCCAGGGCTCCCAGAGGGTGAACATGATTTCTTGGCCGCCCGCACGAAGGCTTTCATTCTGCAGTGGCATCTGATCCAGTCCCATGTGTGTAATGTGCAGGGAGTTGACGTCTTGGAAGTCAATCTCGTACTGGGTCACTTGGGTGCTGTTTTTCTCCCAGCAGTAGTAGTTACCTGTCTGGGAAGGCAGGGGCCTGGTAATGGAAAGGTGGCCCCTCAACGTTACTTCTATGTTGGGCGCCTTGGAAGGGTTGAAGGCCTGGCTTTTTTTGATTACTGAGAAGTAGTACTTCCACTGTGCCCCATGGACGGGGCACTCCAGGAGGACATCATTACCAGATAGGAGGGCCAGCTGACATTTGTGGCCCTGAGGACAGCTGACAGGAGTGTAGAACCCCAGCACTGGGACAGCAAGGCTGAGAAGCAACCACAGCATGGGCAGCATGGTGGACTGGTGCTGTGGCAATGGGCTAGGCATCAGGCAAGGACATTGTGAGGTTACCACGACCTCGAAAATCAGGTCTGCCAGTGAGAGGAGGAGCAGTCTGCTACATGGGCTGTGAGGTCACCAGCCCCTTGTGGTTTGTGACAGGGGGCATCCTACTTCATTTCTCTTCCATACATGGATATCACAGCTGTCTTTCACTATACTTGGGAGTCATTTTAAAGAGCAAGATCACCAATCAAAGCACACAAGGGCTAACCAGATTGCTCAACAGATTAAAGTGCCCACTTAGACAGATGCAGCGACTGGGGTTTAATCCCCAGTGTGCTGTGCTGGCCCTGCCCCTTGGTAGTGCTGACATGGCGATTGAGACTGGGCATGATGGCGCATGCCTGTAATCCCAGTGCTTGGGAGGCTGAAAACAGGAGTATCACTACGAGTCCGATCTGTGTAGTGAAACCCTGTAGACCCTGCACTAAATACATTAAAAAAAGAAAGTAATTCTAGGCTGAAGAAAAATTATACTAGGGCAAATTTGAGTATACCAAAGCACACAACTGTGAAGAACGTGACACTAAAAAAGAGGCCACAAAGAAAGTCTCGTGCCACAGTACACATCTGCCATACCAGTGCTCTGAGAGGCTGAGGCAGGAAGATGTGATGTTTGAGTCTCACCTGGTCAACCTAGCCAGTTAGCTAAGAGCTGGGCATGGAGCTCAACATGTGAGGACCTCGGGTTCAACTATATTTTTAAATAGGTTGCAAAAAGGATGCTTGTGAACAGCCTGAGAAGTGGACCAAGAAAAGCAATCTTGTGTGACCTCAAGGAGTGTCACCAGCAACCACATGGCTGCCTTGTCTGGGCATTTGAAGAGCAAGGAGTTCAGAGTGACCAAAGAGGAGAGGACAAGAGAGAGATGGTGGGGTCTGTGGTTTGGCTAGGTCCTTGCTGTTCATCTCCCTGGCTCCTTAAGCTTGAGGGTTCTCAGTCCCTGCCCCGTGTGGGGACCCCTGTAGGCTGCACTTGGTCTCTTCCTGGAGCTTTAGCCTCTAGGGCTTCAGATCTACACAACCAAAGTTTGTGTCTGCTTCCCAGGACCTTAAGAAGTCTCTGTCAGACACAGGAGGTCAACATCCCCTTTGTTTTCCTCTGTCTCCTCCTATCGCCCACTATCATTCAGGAGAACCTTTTCTACAAGGTAGGAGGAGCGGTGGTGAGACTGTGAGAAAACCCACTTCTAGCTTTGATTTTGTGTAGGCGAGAAGTCACAGGCCTGAAGGACTATCTGATTGGCTACCCTAGAGTATTTTAGAATGTTTAAATCAGAGACCAACGTGGACATCTAAGAGACTGCATAGGAAAATCCACATTCCCATATATTCAAACGTGTGGGAGAGACCTTTGTTTACTGGTACAATCCAGTAGCTCATATCAGACCAACACTCTTATTAATAGCAACTATAGATTTTAAGAGAACTACCATTGGGGCTGTTGATAGAGCACCCGCTTAGCACATGGAAGCCCAGAGTTCAATCCCCAAAACACACAACTGTTAATGATGGTGAATATGGTTGAGAGGTGACGAGATGGGGAGTTTGAACCATTACAGAAAAAAAAATCCAATGGAAATACTGGAATTAAATTACAAAATGTATTAAATTAAGACTTCACTGAAAGGAGCAATGACTTATTTCTTAGATGCAATAGAAGAGAAGATTAGGGAAATGGAAGACAGGCTGGTAGAAAAATATTTTTCCTGGAACATGTGAAGCCAAAATTGAAGAAAACAGAGAAGAGTGTCAGATAGACATGTGAGAAAATGGTGAGAAGTCCTAAAATATATGTAAATAGAGACTTGGAAGAAGATCCAGGACCACAGTCGATTTCTGAAAAGATACTACCTGAAAACTTTCCAAAACTTATGAAAGACATCAGACATAGAAAATTCACAGTGGCTAAGCTCCCTGAATATAATACAAATGAGGACTCCCCAGGCAGCAGGGAAACATCCCAAGTGAAAGCACCACAGTGGAAGAATGAAAAGCAACAGAATAATACATTTATATGTAAAACTAAATTAATATTGAGTGCTTAAGGATAATTTCTTGGTGAGTTTGAAATGCACATAAAATTTTAAATACTTGACAACAAGAGCAGCATAGACAAGAAGAATAATGGAGCTATGGAGCTGTCAGGCAAAAGCTTCTGCCTTGTGTCAGGAACATTACAAGTACAAATGGATTTTATAGTCTAAGGAGTAGAGAATTAATGTAATCCATAGAGTAAATAATAAGAGAATAAAAGTCAAATAAATTAAAAGAAGGAAATGCTGGGCTGGGGAGATGGCTCAGTGGAATAAGCGCTTCCCTGGCAAGCGCAAGGGCCTGAGTTCAATCCCTGGTTCCGCAAAAAAAAAAAAAAAAAAAAAAAAAAAAAAAGAAGAGGAAGGAAATGCAATAATTGTAATAATAATTAATGAATCCAAAAGAAACAAAATAATGGAATAGGTCAAAAGCAAGTAAGGAGACAGTAGGTTTAATCCTGAATGTACGTGTGATTACATTAAATACAAATGAACCAAATATTCCAATTAAAATACAAAGATTTTGATGCTATTTAAAATACATTATTTTTTCTTTTACACTGCTGAGGATTGAAACCAGAGCCTTGTGCATGCCAGGCAAATGCTTTACCACTGAGATACACCTCTAGTCCTAAAGAATACAGAAAAGTTGAAATTAAAAACATGGAAAAATATCATGCAAGTACTAATCAAAGGACAACTGACTATCTCAATAACTGAAAAAGTAGATGCAAACAAAGTCAAAAGTATTCACATATTTGCTGGACATGGTAGTGCACACCTGTAATCCCAGCACTCAGGAGGCAGAGGCAGGAGGATTGCCTGCTGAAAATTCAAGCCAGCTTGGGCTAAACAGAGAGTTTAAGACCAGTTTGAAGCGCCTGCAAGCAGGCGCAGGGTCCTGGGGTTTGATCTCCAGGCCTGCTGTGCTGGCCCTGCCCCTGGGGCACACTGAGATGGCAATTGAGACTGGGCATGGTAGTATGCCTCTATAATCCCAGCTCTTGGGAGGCTGTAAACAGGTGGATCACTATGAGTCCAATCTAGTAGTGAGACTCTGAACACCCTGTAGACCCTTCCCTAAAATACAAAACAAAACAAAACAACTTGAACTGCACAGTGAGACTCTGTCTCAAAAAGCAAAACAAAAATACAAAAAGTAAAACAAATGTTACAAAGCAGATATTGCAAAACACATTTTATAAAATGATCACACCAAGAGAAAGATATAACAAGTCTAAGTTTGTATGAACTAAAATATACAATTTGAAAACCTGACAGTTGCGAGTGCATTTTAAAATTTTAAATTTTTATTAGTACCTGTTTGCAGCACATAACGATTACATTCCCTGTGAGGACCTGGTACATGTACACAGCGCATCTCAGTTCTTTTTTCTCCTTTCCATCTACCCTCCTTTTCTTTACCAGCATCAGATTAATTTATCTTACAAATCATTATGAAGTTAATGATCACAAATACAGATGAACAGCCAGACCAACAGTCCAAGAAGCATATAAAACACACAAAACAATTACACCAAATCAAGGTATATATGTATATATATTTTTTATATAAATTTTTATTTATCTATGTGTGTGTGTGTGTGTGTGTGTGTGTGTGTGGCCAGCTCAGCCCACCAGGGGGCGGGGCTGGCTGGCATGTGGTGCTGGGGGATTGAACTGTGGTCCCTGTGCTTTGCTAAGCTTGTTCTAAGTAGGTGCCTTAGACCACTGAGCCATCTTTCCAGCCCCCAAGGTATATTTCTAAATCCAGCATCTGTGCTGGATTATTCTACTGAGCCATCTCCCCAGCCCCAACTGTGCTGGATTGCAATAACTTTTTTTCTCTTTTTTCCAATTGTTTGTCTTTCATTTGGCACTTTATTTGAATATTGAGTTTCTCTTATAAAAAAAAAACCATGCTGTATTTAAGCTCGTGTGTCCGATTTGCTTCACGTAGCATGTAATTTACACAGATTTGTAATTTAGCATGTAGATTTATACTGTTGAAACAGACAAATCTACCAGCACAGCTAGAGATTTTAATGTACATCTATCAGTAATTGATGGGCTATGAAACTGAAAGAACTGAACCAAATCATAAATGACTTAATCAGCAGAAAAGTATGAAGACGAAATTATAAGAAATAAAGCCATGCTGTTAAGTTGAGCTGTGGGGGACTCAGGTCAATAATTTCTGACATTGCCAGTTAAACAGAAGACCCAATGCTATTATGGGCTACTGGACTCTTTTAGAATATTTTGCTGAGTTTACACACCTATAATATTCAATAACGGAACTTAGAAAAAATGGGGTATACAGATGAATGTCCATTTTGTATCTGTGTATTCAAAGTGGCTGGGATAGATATATAGTTACATTCTGTTAATGAATACAATGATTTGTTCTAATGGTGTTTGTAAATAGGATCACAAGTCCGCATCTTGTACAGCAATTAACCACTAAGAAGAATATATGCAGTGTATTATTTGTTGAAAAATAAAAAAAAAATTGTAAAAAAAATAAAATAAAATAAATGACTTAATCCAAATATACAGAACATTGCACTCAACAAGTGCAGAGCATATGTTCTTTATACACTCCTGTGAAGTGTTTGCCTCTGGTGAGCCTCTTCTAGGGCATAAAGCAAGTCTCAGGAAATGCTGAAAGAACTTTATCATGCTTTTTAGTCCGCAGAATTAAGCTGGGCCTAACAGAAAGATAGTAAGACAGCTTTCCCTAGATATCAAGAACTATGCAACATAAGGTCTCTGCTGTGGCTTATACCTAGACGTCCCCCAGAGCTTCACATGCCCATAAGTGGTGCTTTTGGAAGGTGGTGGGATCCAGGGCTATGATACTCCTCGGTGGGTGACCCCACTGATGAGTTTATGGCTAAATGTGACACATGAAGA